ATTTATAAACTATTTTGACACCAAATTTTATACGTCAATTCCTCTATTAAACTCGTACCAGCGAAAAATATAAAAAATTGGACGGTTAGTTTATGTTGCTTTAGATGGAACACTTTATCTTTAAAAAGAAAAATGTTTATATAAGGATGCTACCTTATAATGTAGAACTACATATAAGCTATTGAAAAAAGTAGTTTTAGTATTGAAAAACCCTTTGATTGATCGTGAGATTCGTGACTATAAAAAATAAAAAGATTTTAAGTATTAAAAATAGTGCATTTTACAACATATTATCTACACCGTCCATTTTCAAGATTTTCATATGTTTATAGATCTATTTGATTTTAACCATTTTTGAAATTTAAAATTTTATAATTAGATATAAAAATAGATTTTGAGATAATCTTAAGAACATTTTACATCAAAATTATATACCATGGTAAAAATAATTTGAAGGTGTACCTTACCTCTACACTTGCGGATGTGCACCCACTTTGAACACTTTGTTTGGATCGCTCGCATATGTAGAAATGAGGCCCAACCCGCATGAAACAATTTTCCAATAAATAAGAGAGAGAGAGAGAGGGAGAGTAGAAAGAGGAGGGAAAGCGCATTAACACCGTGCCTTCTGCAATCCCACTCGCAAAGAAAGCAAGACAAAAACCTCCCACCCAAAACAAAGCAAGAACCCACCCCTCCCCACCCACTGTGAAGAGAGAGAAAGGGGAGAGAGAAGGAAGAAGCCCCATCTGTGAGCTCAGAGACAAGAGAGAGAGCGAAACTAGAGAGAGAAAGGAGGAGGAGAGAGAAGCAAGAAGCCCTACTTCTTCGCTCTTCTATCCATAACCGGACGAAGCGCGAGCAATTAAGGATAAAAGTGCAGATGCTTGCTTTGAGAGAGAGCCCAGTATTACTCGGAGATTGGGAGAGAAAAAAGCTCATGCGGTTGCTTACAGAGGGAGAGAGTCCAGCGTTTGACTCGAAGATTGAGTAGAGAGAGATAAAGAAAACCCATATCCCTTGCTTCAGTTTTATAGAGAGAGAATAGAGAATAGAGCAGGGAGGAAGCCCATATACATGGTTGAGAGAGAGAACCCCTAATATTCCCTGCTGCAGGGAAGAGACGAGAGAGAAAAGCCACACAATTGGCTAGACCTAGAGAAATTTCAGATATCTGGCTCACAGAGGAGAGAGATAGAAAGAAGAGGAGGAGAGAGAAAATCCAGATTCTGGGTCAGTGGGGAGAGAGGAGGAAGAGATGATGTGTAGAGAGAGAAAGAGATGATCATGAGGTGCCAGCGCCACCCAAGCAATCCTGGCGCTGTGGGTGTCTGCGCCCAGTGCCTCCGCGAGCGCCTCCTTGCCCTTCTTGCCGCGGTCTCGGCTGCCAACGGCACCACCGATCCAGATGTCAAAGGTGCCTGGCACAGCACAAGCAGCAGCTCAGCCGCCAGCGGCAGCAGCGCCCGCCACCTTCCTTCCCCTTTCCCCAAATCTGTCTCCCCTTACATTTCCCGGCCCGTCAAAGAGCGCGACCACCGCCTCTTCTATAGCACCCCTCAGCTACATCACCCCCCAAATTCAAACCCCAAGCCCCGCAAATTCTCAATTTTGTCCTCTATTTTTGGCCCCAAACCCCAAATATCCAAGGTTTCTTTCTCTGAGACGAGAGTTTCAGTTTCAGAATCTAGGGTTTCTGGTTCGTCATCTTCCTCCACATGGTTTTCTTCTTTGTTTAGAAAGAAATCTAGGTTATTTTCAGCCGAGTGTGGCGGAGAAGTGGCGGCTCCTCCTATTCGGAGGCGGAGGAGGAGGAATCGAGGGCTTTCTCCTGCTGAAAAAGGAAGAGAAGAAGAAGAAGATTTTCCTGAATCAACGAGGGAGAGTGGATACTTGTCCGATTCAATGGTGGATAGTGCGTTTCAGGGTAAGAAGGTAGAGGAGGTGGTGGTTTCTAGACCGAGAAGAAGGGCTGCCCCGGCACCTCCTCTTCATGGATCGTCCGGTTTTGCGTTTTGCTTGAGCCCATTGATGAGGCCGAGCCCTAAGCACAGATATGGCGGAGGAGGGGGAGATCAGGTGGGGTGGGATATGGCGCATTCTGGTGAGCTGCGGAATAAATATTTGTGTTCTTCTTCGTCTTCCTTCGTTAACAGGTCAAGGAAGCTCGCTGATATGGGCCGATTTCCTTGATCAAAGGTTTCATTTTCATTTTCATTTTTTTCTTCTTCTTTTGATATGAGAGAGAGAGAGAGTTTTTTCTTCTCTTTTTGATTATGGTTATTGATTTCAGTTGATGTATAGAGAGAGGGAGTGAGAGATCAGAGACATGTGACATTAAGAATTAAAGCGGATTCTGCTTCTCTTTCTTCCTGTTATTTTTTTTTAGAGAGACGGTACTTTCTTCTATGCTTTTCGATTTTTTTTTTTAGAGAGATGGTATTTTCTTCTATGCTTTTCGATTTTCAGGAAGAGATTTAACTTTTTTGTTGATAAAATTTGAATTTTTATTCATCAAAGGGATAAGAGAGAGAGAGAGGAGCATTATTTTTCTCTTTCTTTCTTTGTCATGGTTCATTCTCTGAAATCTGAAAATTGCTAAATATTTTGCATAAAAAAGATGCCAACCTTTCAGTTCAATCGTAAATTTCGGTGCTCAATTTCCAGCGGTTTTGATCCTCTTTCTTCCAACCCTTGGTTTTTTTTATCCATGAAATTTTTTGGTCAGATTAAGAGAGAGAAACAGAGACGATCTTTCTTTCTCTCCTCTTTTCTTTAGTGAATGAGACTTTGCTCTTTCTTGTTTTTTGTTTAGTTCGCTGCAATCTCCGCCCAGGAAGCAGACCCGAAGTTTTCATTTTCATCCGAAAATTTTGGCAGCTCATTAACCGTCCGATGACGGTAATGGCCTGTTTGACAAAGATCTCACAATCATTCCCATTTATTAGATATCAAAATTGGTTGGTTGGTCAGGGGCGGGGTGCTATAAATTTTTTTTCTTATTTTTTTGAATTATTCAATGGCTCTCTTACAACCACCTATTTTGAAATAAAAATGGAGTGATTTATCGAAATAAATAAAGCTTTACTTCATAACTCATCAAAAATTGCAATTTTATGTGTTGGTAAATTTTTAAATTGATCATCTCAATTTAAACATTACGTTAAAAAAAGTTAGGATTTCAAGCTCCAAAAATAATATATATTGTAATGAATTATCTAAACCATCTATTTCACCTTAAAAATAAGTGTTTTTACATCCGCAAGATATGTGTCATTTTCTATGCTTCAAATTTTATTGTCGACGTTGAAAATTAATTTTAGGGCCATAATGGGGGTTTCCGTTACCAAAAGTGCTTTATGGACGGCGATGTAAGGTGTATCCTTTTTTTTTTTCCATAAAGCTTAGGCCCTATTAAAACTTCATCCATTTTGAAATTTAAGATCTAAGAATGGTTTTGCCTTCAAAGGAAAATATTTTAAAACTTCATCCATTTTGAAACCTAGGAGATAAAGATTGGTTGTGCCTTAAAAGGAAAATATTTTAATTGGGCTTCACCCCTGGTAAAGCCTTACCTTAAATCTCACTTAATATTGCAGTTTTGGAATAAGTGTCAAATTGATCATCTTGCCCTTTGAGCAAAAATACTTTAGGATTTTAAGTCCAAAACATAATGTATATTATAATATATTATCTAGACTGAACATTTTGCACTAAAAATTAGTTTTCTTACATAAAAAATGAATGTTCTTAGAGATGCATGATCTGTGACACTTTTGGTGTTTCAAATTTCATAATTGATTGTTGGAAATCAATTTTAGTTCCAGCATGGAAATTTCCGATGCTCAAAGTGCTTATGGGAGGAGGATTCGATGTGAGGCTTTTCATTGTTATCATAAGGCCTAGGCCTTATAGAAATTGCCAAAAAAAGTTTATTGTCTTGGTTTTGTTTTTACTCTTAGATGGAGCATGTAAAACTATTTATTCAAAGCGATATTTTAAAACCTGAAATTGGGTTTTCGATCCATAGGTGGGGCATGTAAAATTATTTATTCAAAACAGTATTTTAAAACTTGAAATCGGGTTGGATCTGTATCAGCTAGATCGGTTCTCCGTTGAACTGAATTATTTAAAAATTGGTTAGAAATTGTCGTAATGATAGAATTGGATGAACTAGTGTCACTCATATGCTGAATCTGAACTGAATTATTGAAAAATTGGTTAGAAATTGTCGTAATGATAGAATTGGATGAACTAGTGTCACTCATATGCTGAATCTGATCCAAATCGGCCATTCATGAGATTTTTAAAATACTGATAAACTTAATTGAAACTTCTTAGCTCTAATCTGGGGCAATGAAAGGGAGATATCGTCATTGCAAAAATAAAAAATCGTTATTTGTCAGCCTCATATCCGATAATTTGAGGACGAAATATCCGAAGTTCCCAACTGATTTCGTTGATACTTTGTGGTGAGGAATGAGGATAGTGGGTTAGGGTGAGGTTTAATGGTGGGGTGCAAGAACGTGAGAGGAGGGATTGCATTTAAATTTCATTCCTTTTTGTTTTCATTATTCATTCTTATTTTTGGCTCTCGCCTTTTTGCTCGACATAAAATAAGTGCAGGAATGATTGTTTCTGGAGTTTCAAATAAAGCGAGGGATAAAATGGTATTAGAAAAATACAATTAAACGAAAAGATAAAAAATAAACTAAAGCCGCATTTCATAGAAAGTCAAATGCATCGGAGTTATCCATGATTTTCTCACATCCCTTTAAACTTATCCGAAATTTTTTGAGTGTTGACCGGTCCTATGTTCCGCGAAATCCGCCGAAATTTTGCGTGTTTCACTACCGAAATCAAGTGCGCTCTTTCACAAGGTCGTAGCCAGGAGCCGTAGTTTAAGGGGGTTTACACCTCCCCTAGCTAAGGCTGGTGGGCCCAGCCGGGCCTTAAAATAGGGTTGGACCACAGGCTGTGGCCGCCAGCCGAGTTCGTCCTGGTTCAGCGCTCTCCTTTTTTCTTTTTTTTTTTGTTTTTTCTTTGATTTTATTTTTTGCATTTGTTGTTTTGCTGTCCGTCCCGACCCTACCGGAACAAGGCCAGCCTCTCTATAGCCTGTAAACCTCCTATCTCTCTCTCTCTAAATTTCCTGCATCTGAATCTTTCATAGTATGGAAGCCAGACACCTTTCGATGATGAAAGCTTCCACCTTAATGCCCAACTGCCTTTCTCTCCCTCTTTCAGCATGGTTCCTTGACCGTTAGATTAAAAAAAATTGGTGATGTGCTGTAGGTTTTTTTTTTTTTGTTGGGTACTTCTGCAGGAAAGACCGACCCTATCTGTTTTTCAATAGCTTGACGAGTTACATTTTGAAGCTTTAACCTGATCGATTCAATCGATTTCTGATTCTGATCGTCGATTTGTCGATCCGAATCGATTTTTGAAGTACTCGATCCGAGTCACTTATCCGCTTTTTAAGCCATTGGTTTTTTCAATAGATCGACTAGTTACATTTTGAAGGTGTAACTGGGTGTGCGGATGCGCTCTGTAGCGACCAAGACTTTTCGACAATGTTGCTAAGAAAATCGAAGAGGTTTGGTTACGCGGCAACGCAGCAAAGATGTCGACATGCATGGCTTGTTGTGAGGAATTTCAATTGCAGGTCACCAATGTTGTTATATCTTTTTATTGTAAAATAAACTATTGATTTTGTTAGGTGCGTTTAGAGAGAATATTTTTTACATTCATTTGGTATTTATTATTCTTGTTTTGTAATATAAAATTTTGAAAAAATTACATAAATATTCATTACACTTTCCGCTATTACATGTATGTCTGTTTCTTACTTTTTATAACGTAATTTTTTTAAAAATACGACTTTACTTTTTTTCAAATGTTGAACAACCGAATTAGAGAGTTTTTCGGATTTTCAACACCAGAAAATAGGCCGAAAGTTTAACATTCACATTCTCATTTTCGGGTGTTGAACATCCGAATTGAATGGTTATGTCGATATATTGTATTCTTTGTGAAAATAGTTTCGGATATTGGACGTCCAAAAATATCACATTTTCGGATGTTGCACATTAGAAAATGGTTACGGATGTTGTACATCAGAAAATGTCATATTTTCAGATGCTCATTATCCGAAAAATGACTGCGAAATTCTAGAGACTTTCTGGATATTCAAAGTCATATTTTCTGATGTTGAACGTCAGAAACCATTTTCAGATATTCAACATCTGAAAAGCCCTTCAATTCGGATGTCCAGCACCCGAAATGAGAATATGAACGTTAAAACCCTCAAATTCGGTTATTCAACATCCGAAAAAGGGTAAAGTCATCATTTTTTAAAAATTACATTATAAAAGATAAAAAAACGAATGTACATGTAATAACAAAAACTATTTGGTACATCAATAATAACGTAAAATATAACGGATATGTATGTAATTTTTCCTAATAATTGTGAAAGGCATTTTTTGTTATTACGAGGGATAAAACGATATTTCTTTGAAGGGAAAAGTTTATATAGAGCCTAAGCTCTAAAAAATCAAATTAGAGCCTACCTCAAAATTTTTATTAAAATAAGTTGTTTTGATGTTCAAATATCATCAAATTGACATCAAGATATATGAACATGAGCAAAAAATAGATTTCAAGTTTTTGAAATAGTGTATATTGTAATGTATTTTTGGACCGTCAATTTTCTAGACTTTCAAGTTTTCATAGATCTATCGGTCTACGCTATTTTGAAGCTTTAAATTTTATAAATAAAGATGAAAATATATTTTATGGCTATCACAAATATTTCTTGTATTGAAACCACATTTCTCGATACTATTTGAAGATAGGCTATAATTTGACTTTTTAGAGCCTAGGCTCTATACAAACAATACCATTCTTTTAAAAGCTAGTGACAATCTATTAATAGTTAAAAAACAATTAATCTTCCATGTGCACACTTCATGTATATATCATTTTCATTATAATTGATATTTTTCTTTTTAGCGAGAAATTTTATTTTATTTTTGATTAATTACTTAAAATACCTTGAGACAGAAAACTTATTAAATTGTGGAGTAAAAATATGAAGTGACAAAAATAAAAAGTACATTAATAAAATACTCAAAATCCACAAATAAAACACTCAAAATCCACAAATAAAACACTCAAAATCCACAAATAAAACTCATAAAAGATTAAAAATAACTACAACAAATCCACAAACAAACTTTACACGCTGTGAGTGAGAGAGAGAGAGAAAGAGAGAGGAGCGTGAACTTGGGCTGGGATATTCAAGGTGTAGGGCCAACTATCAATTCGAGTGGGGAAAAAGTGTGAATGCTGTCCCTTAAAAAGTTTTGCCCT